CTAAGAAGCCCACCAAACATTCCTAAGTTGGCTTACTAGAGTTTAATTGGGGATTGACCACCCAATCAAATAAGCGCTATCTGTGCCATTAAAATTAAACACAAGGAATAGAGTTCTTAAAAATTCGTACACGATGAAAGAATATCTCATTAATAAAATAATTTACTTTGCATATCCTATGATCTCAAAGTCTTTTTTAATAGTAATAGAATATTTCCTATTGCAACTATAAACACGTACGTATAAGTTCACTAGTATATAGTAAATATCTAAAATGCGTGCTCTCAATTTAGAATCTTCTGTGTTTTTAGGGATCTTAAGTTGTTAGTTTTGAAACCATATGTACCGTGAATTGGTATATCCATCATTTGGATAAACAAACATGTTGTCAGGTTAACTATAAACACAATCTGAATAAGATGCAACAAAATTTCTGTAATCATCTACCTTATTAATTATAGTACCTTATTATAGGTACATGAGTATAGAAATTTTGTTAAGGTAACATAGCTTCTACTGTGAAACATTATGGGTAGATGAGTATAGAATTTTTGTTACTGTAGTCTCTGCTCTGAAATGAATAAATGTTTCAGAGTAGAAGTTACAACATGTTTTAGTGTAGAAGCTTCTGCTTTGAAACATTTATTTTACTTTAAACATAATGCATGGCTTTCTAGAGAGCTTTTTCTGAAGATAGCAGGATTACTATTTGTCATGGTGCTAGTGTTGAGAACTGGTATGCAACCCAATCTGCAAGAGAAAGCATAATACTCCGTATGTACTAAGTATTCCGCCATTGATATTACTGTTATTAAGTTTTTGGGATGCGTAAGCATATCAAGAAGAGAATTGTCACACATTTCTATGGGACTGCAAGATCATTGAATTACGTGAACATTCAAATGATTAAAAAAATTATAGTATCTTGGTCCATACAGATCTGATACTTGTAGGCTGTATGTCATCGTGGTTTAAATAGTGGGCTATAGCCTCTGCAGCGGCCGGAGAGAGCTCATGTAAGACTATCTCTAACAACATCACTTAAAATGCAAGATCCATTTGATATTTGGATAGGGCTACATGCAAAGAGTTCAATACCCATTTTTTTATCTTCTCCAACAACGTGACCTAAAAGAGAATCTTTTCTGCAAAATGAGTTTTCAGGAGAGATGATACTTATATTTGGATTGTGCCTCTCCTGGTACCTAAAATGGGTCTCCCATGCAGGTACTCTACTAGAGATAGTCTTAATCTATGTTATTTGCACCATCATGTCAGTTACGACTGTTATATCGTGCATCAGCGCCGCTAAATTGCTTTGCTATAACGTTGAAATAACGGTGCTATTTCAATTTGAAGTACAACAATGCTAATCTATTTATTCTCTACTTATCTTTCGCTACTAATTTGGTCTTTTGGAAATTGAACACATAGGTTTCATGAATCATGTTGTCATTGATATTAAGCAATGTTCCCTAGACTCGATAAACTTTGGAAACAAACATATATTCATCGAATTCCATGATTGTCATTTTTTTCGTCAATTACTTATATTTTTCATATTTTTTAAAGAGTTAACTAGCGACCCTTAAACTTGTGTCCATGTGCTATGTAAGGAAAATAGACCCTTTGCCCATTTAGTTTGGATTTTGGCGTTTGATGATCAACACAACCAAGTTAGAGTAATGAATTTGCAAGTGTTTATTTTATAGTGCAATAGGATGCAAACGCAGATTGAACCAAGATTTGAATGTAAAAAATATGATCAACACTGAAAGGAAGACACTAGAGGATGTGTAATCAACCTAGAAGTGAAGCTAGAAGTCCAAGATGCGAAGATGAAGAAGCCCAGAAGAAGGATCGCGAAGGAATGAACAAAGGGCAAAACTGCAGCTGGCATAGGATAGGACTGTGTGCACCGCCCCATTTTCAGTGCGACACACTTTCATATTTTGGGCATAACTTTTACCTCTGAACTCCGATTTTGATGATCTTAGAATTTTTAAAAAGCTAATGAAAAGCTCTATAGCTTTGAACTGGTGGAAATCAAGTTGGAGCAGCCTAATGGGCACCGGACAGGGTGGCACTAGATAGCGCACCGTCCTATTTTTCTAGAGACTATGGAAATCGAGTTGGAGCATCCCAGAGGACACTGGGCATGGTGGCACCGGACAAGCTGGCACCAAACATGAACTGTTCTCCAACGGTCGGATGTCAGTGGCACAATAGCCAGCTGATGTGGCAGGCACCAGACTATCTAGTGACCACGCAATGAGCTGCACCTTGCCTCCAACGACTAGTTTCTCAATGGAGGCTATATATATCACCTCCCACCGGCCATTTGAGGTGTGAGGGAGCAAGGAAAAGATAGAGGGGTGTTGCTACATCACATTTGTGCTCTCCACATGCATAGGGATGAAAGATCACTTGGTGATTAGCGTAGGTGCTTTGCGAAGTGCTTAAGTTAGTTAGACCATGCTCACATGGGCTTGCTCTAGGCTTAGGTCTAGTTGCTAGTGATGTTTGCATACTTCTCAACCAAAGGTGCTTGCGCGCACCGTGCTTGTACTCAGTGGGGCTTCTAAGTCTTGTGAGACCACACCAACCGTGTTTATGGTGTGGCTGCCATTGTGGACGGAGAGAATAAGGCCCGCGACGTTTTGGCCGGAAGCTTGATAGTGAAGATGGCGGGGAGTGATCCGAGAGAGGCTTGCTGAAAGGTACACCGGAGACCCACTTACGCGTGGGGAAGGCCCAGAGCTATCCACGGACTTATCCAACCGGGAGCTTGGCCCTTGCGAGGGCTTCCTTGCGAGAGGAAAACTAGGGGGAAACTTGAGCGCTTTCTCGATTCCTCGATAAAAATACCGGAGTCGTCGATGAGATTTTGCATCTCTACCTCATCCTTAGTTTTCGCATTTATATTGCTACCTTAATTGTATGCTTTACTTTTCTAGCTTAGTTGATAGGCTAGTTGATAGGATTGGAACCTAGATTGCATAACTCTTTTACGGTAGAGATAGCAACACACTAGCAAAACCATAGTTGCATATTTAGATAGTTTATTTATTTGCATAGGTTTTGCTAAGGTAAAAATTAGAGGCGGCCATAGTTAATTAGAAGTAGAATTTTAAGTTGTCTAATTCACACGCCTCTTAGGCGTCATGGTCCTTACAAATGGTATCAGAGCCGGTTGGCTCATATTTGGATATTTGGTTTCACCGCCGTTGAGCCGACACTATTTAGAGTGGTTGGGATGAATACCTCTAGGTCTTCGTACTTTGACGACACTAATTTTCCCTACTATAAAGCTAGAATGGCTCGTCACCTTAAGACAGTAGATTTAGGTGTTTGGAGTCACTCGCGACGGGATAAATCCCCTAAAAAATCTCGAGAAACCAACCAAGAGTGATGAAAAAGAAATACATTTCACGCAAGATGTGTCAAGAAGAAACCTCTTCATCAAGCAAAGGCATTGCTCTCACATGTGGTGAGTAAAAGAAGATAAAGGACAAGCAAGTTGAGACAAGTTCAAGTTCAAGCTCCTCAAGTGAAGATGAAGATGAGGATAAGAATGATGAATCAAGTGATGATGATCAATCTTCCTCCTCCACCTTCGACCTTAATGAAGAATCAATCAAGCTTATCCAACAGGTGGAGAAGATGATTCAAAAGCTCAATGTTAAGGGTGTGCCCATCTAAATTCAAGATTGCATCTTCATTATTCAACAAAGAGAGCAAATAAAGAAAGGATGTTATAGATGTGGCAAGTTAGGATACTTTGTGGAAGTTTGTCCAAACAAGCCCACACCCAAGGCAAAGAAAAAGGCGTACAAGGCCAAAGCCCTCACATAAATCAAGACATGGGATGATTCTTCAAGCAAAGAAGAAGTCCACCACAAGAGACGTGGCCGCAAGCACTCATCGTCAAGCTCTTCTTATGTGTGCCTTATGGCATGAGGTAACAAAAGCTCCTCATCCTCCTCTAGTGAGAATGATAGTGATGAAAATGATGATGGAATGCCTTCTTATGATGACCTTAAGAAACAAGTCCAATTCTTTAATGAAGTTTGCATAAAACAAAAAAAACAAATTAGTGAACTTAAAAATAAGTGCACTAAAACAAAAGCAAAGAATTGTGACAATTCTACCGATAAAGTGCTTATGTTTATAATCGATAGTCTAGAAACAAAACTAGTTAGTTCACAAGATGCTCATTAAAATAAAACTTTTTGAAGAACAAAATAATGAGCTAGCTAGCAAACTTGAAGTTATCGGTAGCACCTCTGAGTTTCCTAAAATTGAAATCAATTGAAATAACTAAAAAGAATGCCTCTATTTCTTGTAATGATTTATTATTAGATTCACCCATTTGCGACCAAATTCATTTTGAGAAAGTTATTGTACAAACATGCACACAAGAAGTTGCAATGGAGAATGAGCAACTAAGTAAGAGGTGGCTCGCCTCACAAGGACTTGACTTAAGTATTAGGCAAGACGGAGCAAACTCAAGCTCATCAAGCTTGATGAGGGACAAACCATGATTTGTTACTTATGCCACGAGAAAATCTTCAAGTCCTATGAGTGCGAGGTAAAGAAAGGGGAGAAGAAAAGATATGGTAATTAGGCAAGCACGAGGGGCCACGGTGCAAAAACAACCTAATTTCAGCAAAATATCTGTTCAACTTGTTCCCAAGTTTGACTCGAAGACACACGTCGCTTTCTTACCTGGTTGCTTGATGTTCCAAGTGTTGCTTGCTTTCAGGTTAATTAAGAGGTTGCTTGATGTTCCAAGTGTTGCTTGCTTGCAGGTTAATTAAGAGCTTCCTTCCCTGCTACCTATCATCTCCTCCGTGACGAAACCAAATCTATGCGGCTATGCCTGAACCTAGCCAACCTGAATAATATCCATATATAATGCGCATTAGTTCCCTGCAGTCTTCGAGGTGCATTACAATATTCAGGCGCGCACATCAGCTGCCCCAGATAGATCTCCCTCCATGATCCTCGCAACTCCTCGCATCACTCACTACCTTCACAGCATCCCGCCACCGGGTCCGGGCCACCGCAGGAGTCTCCTCTCCACAGCATACGCCGCCGTGCAGCGAGATGATGCCACCACGGAGGCGGCAGCAGGAGAGGGCACATCGTCGTCGTCGTCGTCGTCGGAAAGCCTGAGAGTGGCTAAGCCTGCCGCGACAGCTCCGGCTTCGGCTCCGGCGGCGTTTTCGTTGCCCAAGGACTACAGCCATACTCTGTTCCACTCCGAGTGCCTGGAGGTGCTGGGCCTGGTGGACCTCGAGTCGCTGCGGAAGCGGCCGAGGCTCACCGTAGGGGTGACGGTGAAGGCGTCCGTGGTGCTCCCGGTGCTTGTGGTGCTGGCGGTCCTGTACCTGACGGACGTGGCCAAGGGTGTTGTCGACTGGACGCATCATCACCTGGAGGGCGAGGACGTGGGGGACTAGTTAGAGGGACGCCCTCCCAGGCACAGCTCTCCATTGTAGCGATGCAGGCATGCAGCAGGTGAACTTGCTCGTGTAAACAATTAGCTTCAGGCTTCGGCACTGCTGATATTGTTTCCCTTTCTATTCTTTCCCATTTGTAATAAACTGTACATAAACTTACTTAGGCCCGTTCGTTACACCAGGAATGACCACCTGAAAAAAATCTGGACCAAAATGCTAGTTAAAATTATATATACTTCATGAGTGGGATTAATTCCTGGGCTGTTTCTTCTGTAACTGAATGGGCCCTTAGGCCCCGTTCGGTTCATGTGGAACCGTTCCTGCCCTTAACAGTTCCTGGCCAGGATCAAGTGGATCCGCTTCCTCCACTCATTCCTGATCTGATTCAAAACCTGTCCTGATTTATTCCTAGTCTGATTCAAAGTTATGTTCGGCTGGACAGGATCACAGGAACTGAACCATTCCTGGTCTGATTACATAGAAGGAAAATAGGAAAAAAAAACTGCTACTTGCAGCTGCTAGGGCACTTGCTGTCACAGGACAAGTCCGCTACTTCACATGAAAATGGGAAACAAAACCTCACGAGCTCACACTGAAAATTTACATGAGAATGACATAGATCTGTCAAAAAAAAAAAAATTCAAATTACCATGCAAAGCAAACCTAACAGAATATCCAGATCCAAAACAAACATGAAGGCTGTTGAACATAAATAATAAGTTGTAAGTCTCATTTAATGTAACCATGGTATATTGATGCCCATGGCATAAGATAAGCTTCTAAAAACATGGAGAGTCAGATGTAAGTCCCATGGAAGAACATGCACCCTTCAGAACTCTCCCCATATACAGTCTATGGAAGAATTTATATGGTCCATATCACTGACCACCTAACAAACAAAAATAAGGTACTGATGCTTTGAAAGGAGTCTTCTACTTGCTGTATCTAGTAATAATATCTTGTTTCCACAAGATCACATCTGGCACAAATCTTAGATTAAACAGGTATAAAATGAAAGGGTTCTACACAGCAACTTGATAGAAACAGAAACGTTCTGGGCAAACGAATTTATCCCTGTACTACCTCAGTATCCTTAGGTTCTCCAAAACCTGAAACATGAACATTGGACATGCAAGTGTTAATGAGCATGAAAAACTGAACCAAAGAATAAAAAACTGAACTAAAAACTGAACCCTTCAGTTGGTTTACTAAACCAAAGAATCTATTTACTTAGAAGTGACTAGATCAGTACTGAGAAGTATATGAGGCATACTCCCTCCGTCCCAAAATAAGTGCACTTATGGAGTGTAGGTAAAGAGATCAAGGTTAGCGAGAAATTACATATATGCCCCTATAAAGATGTAATTATTACACCTTGAAAAAGAGAAAGTAGAAAAAGATAAGTGAAGTTAGTTTGTCTTATCCGTAGAGGTGCATTTATTTTGGGAAACATTTTGAACTCTAGAAGTACACTTATTATTAGATGGAGGGAGTAGTTAATAAGGCATTAGATTCTATATATGAATAGAAGAAAATAAAAGCCATAGCCTTGTTATACAGGATGGCAGCCAAGGCCTATTAATAGATGCATCTTACAGTACTTAGAAGTGACTAGCTCTACTAATGCAAATTTGCAAATATGTTGAGACACCCAAGGCCGATGACACAAGTAAAATTAAACTGTATGCCACAAACAAAAACTGAATCTTCATGCTTACCACAAGTATAAACTTAAAACTTGGTACTAACCGGCTATCTGCATTTTCATCTAATGATTCTCAAAGACAGAAGGGAAAAGGCTACACTTGGCACTATAGCAGTTAAATCATTAAGCGCTACAAAGCTCTCAGTTATGCATTGCTAGACGCAGAATAGTGAGCAGCGTACTGATAAGAACCCGCTAGGGTTTGTGGATGATCTTTCGATGAGAGGCGTGAGATAACTCGATTTGGTGGATGGAGATGACGTTCATGGCCTGACTACAGCCTTCCAAGACTGCGCCTTAGCAACCGATACACCACCTTCAAAGGCTGTCACGATCTTGTGGAGCGCGACAACCAGCCACTAGGGCTCCCGTCCTACAAGCAATCGAAGAACTAGCAAGAACAAGGAAACAAGCACTAAATTTGCAAGATGAAATTGAAAACCTCAAACTGAATCTTATTATGAGTGGGGTTCCGAAGACAAGGAGACGGGCGGCTGGTCAGCACGCGCGCCTATAAGCAAGTAGCAAAGGCTAAACTTGATCTAAACAAAACCCGAGTGTCTTGGCGGCAGCCAAAGGGTATATAACATAGGGTGGACGACCAACAAGGTGTTTGGGTCGTACTCCAACCCTAAGACACGTCCCTAATGGACCCTAAGACGATACACATCCCATTGGACTAAAATAAGGTGACGCAGCACCCTGGACATAAAGACCTCTCGACGGTAATTGAATAATTGCCGATGCTGCCGAATAGATATGGACGTGGAACTGGTTCCATATGAAAGTAGACTTGATAAGCTTTCCAACAAGTCCTAAAGCGCCCGAATCCGACTCCGTATGCAACCGTGGTGATGGTCACAAGTTGGTGCCTTTTTGCAGTCTGAATCCAACCATCGTGAATCCTTCTCCCTTTCGGTCTTCTCCTTGGTTCCTAATCAAAACAAGAGTGCATGCGTTTCCAAGATCTAAACAAGATGGACAGGAGCTCAAGAGGCAACTCACTTGATGATTAATTTTACGAGCACGAGCACGAGTAAGAGGACCAGCGATAGGTACTGGTGTCGGTGCGGATGCGTTGTCGGTGTTGATGTCCTCATCATGTATGAAATAAAAAACCAAGCTCTGAGTCTCAGTTGCTAGAATGCCCATGGCCATCTGTTGCCAAGAAATTTAAAGCCACACTATGTGCTAATAAGGCCGGCATGGATTAACGATGAACATGACCAGATGTGCTGCTCATTAGTTAGCAAATCTTTTCGAGGAGCCAGATTTCTGACTGAGAGGTCTTGGAAATTAAAGCAGATATAAGTCAAGAACTAGAGGACTCTCAACTACCAGGACTCTCATCACCACCATCCTACTACCAGGACTCAACTAGAATTAGAGACAAGATCCGAGAATCCTAGAGGAGGGAGAGAGGACGAGGACGAAGGGGAGAGCGAGGGAATCACCGGCGAGAAGGACGAGGAAGGGGGAGGATGTAGGGTCGCCGTCGCCTCGTGGTCACCCCGAGCCTCCCGCCGTCGCCTCTGCTACGTCGTTGCGTGCTCGCGTCGTGGAGACAGGGAGCCAGCACCGATCCGGAGGGTAGGAGGTCCGGTTCCGTTCCGGGCCGTGGAGACAGGGAAAAGAGAAGGCAGTTTTGGTTCCGGGCCAGTTTTGGTTCTAGGCCGGCCCAAATGAACGCACATTCTAGTTCTCACCCGGATTGGAAATAGACCACAACAATCCACCCGGAATGGGCCAATCCAGAAAAAACGAACGAGGCCTTACTGGTGCCTTTATGTAACCCTGCTTTATCTTACTAGCTCTATTCCTGGCAATGTTTAGCAAATGGGATAGGGAAATCATATCCCACCCTCCAAAGGGTGATATTGTATCTTAGCCATCCATTCTTCACACCTTATTTAATCCTAGTCATTCATCCATTTTTCTTTCCCAATCTTTAAATATGGACACGGTCCCTAGTGTGCGACTTTATAAGAAATTGGATGTACAAATTTTAATATGATAAATCCAGATCATACTGTTACCTAAGTCAATTGTTAAAACTACAAAGTTGTTTGACTGTACCCATGGTATACATTTTTTTAAACGTAATATAGAAGCAGACTGCGAGGGTAGTCGCCACAATTACGAGGCCCTCAGGAGAGTGCCACCCGCACCTCCTCTTTAGGATCTTATGCGTTGAGTTACACAAACATACCTGATACAAAGCATACCAAACGGCTCAATTAGTAAGCATTCAAGTCTCCAACTTATAGCTGAAACATCATTGACAATAAAATAGTTTACAAAAAACTAGTTTGGAAGGTATCTCTAAGTTGACTTGCTATCGAGAAAGAGAAGGAGAGAAAGAGAGGATCCCCAAGCCCATGGAGGTGCTCCCAAGCCGATCTACCGCCTCGAGCCTTCCCAAGCCAAGCTGCTGCGTTTGGAGCATCCCCAAGTCATGGTGAGCACATCTTCGAAGCCCAGCATCATCTTTCTCAACCTCCCATGGCCATCCCATTGAGTTTCAAGGTCATCCATGGCCACCACCATGGATGGGGTTGAGCTCCCCACAGCCCATGCATGTTGAATCCAACACTTGAAAAAGCTTCCCTACCTCACTAGAAAGCCATAGGAACAAACCACACTTAATTTGGAATCCGGATACCCCACGAACCATCTCCGACATTTTTGCACCCGAACTATTCGTCGTTTACTGGACTGTCCGCGGTTCTTGGCGAACTGTCCGTGGCGCCAGTGTTCGTCCCAGATGAACGCCCTGCGCACATACATTAGTCCCAGTGGACTGTCCGTGACGCACCATGGACTGTCCGTCAATTGTTAGCAGCACAACCCCAACTTGTAAAATTCATAGAAGTTGCATTTAAATTCCAAAAATTATGAAACCAGTTTTGTTGTGTTGCTTAGATTATTCTCCATCATCTAAGCATGAATTTGACACTAGAATTGCATTTTGATTTTTGCACTTAAAATAATACATTTTAGTTTATAAAGTGCATAACTCATTCTCTAGGTCTCCAAAAATTATGAAACTTGTTTTGCTTTCTTTCTTTGAGCATGTGTGATTTATGAAACATGTTTTGTGCATCATCTCATTTCATTTGTGCACATGTCATGTCTATTTTGCCTCACATGTTCACTCAACAGTAGGAATCTCTTACTCTCTGCACTTGGAGCACAAGTCACTACCTAGATATACTCCTAAGCATCTTGGTAACACACCAACACGATCTCATACACATGCAAACACTCTAGGTTGAGTTTTGGATTTCAAGTTGAT